GCAGTGTCAGCTTTCTAGTATAATGGAGTAGAACATATGGCCCAAACTGAATGAGTTATGCGGATGGGGAAGAAAGGGATATAAAGGAGTATATCCACACACTTTAAGGACATGCAAGGTACTAGTCCAGTTTAAAAAATATGGAGGAGAAATACCTCATCAAAAATTATATCCTGAAGAGGGGAAGTGTGGGAAAATTTTTGAAATACATTGGGACAAAAGCTTTCATCTCAGTAGAGAATATGTAAAAATGATACCTTTTTCACAAAATTCACACTTTGAAGTGCATTTTTGAATAAAAGAATATCATGTGAAGATGGATAACTTTTTCAGCAATTTAAAAGTTGGCTTGAAATTGACTTATGTGAAGACTTGTATCTAAAATTATGTAAATGATTTCAAGCTCTTTATTGCTTAAGCTTTAAACAGCTGAAGTCAGTTTTTGAAATGTTCTAGGGTATTTTAGTAGCTATAGGTATTTCTGCAAGTAGGGAGAATGTTTGTTCTGTACAATAACTATACTGGCGTGGAAGTCTGCTGTAACTGGAAAAAGCTCTCTTCAGGTCGTTACTTAAATTTACAAGTTACCTAGCAATTCTAAAAACTTAAAGACATACTGGGAAATGTTGTCTTGTGGCTACATATTTCTTTCCTTTTTAGAGTCTAGATTGTCTTTAATAAAGGACTCCTTAAATACTCTAAATGTGTCACAACTGGTGCTGTTCCTGAGAGTTTAATTGAATTCTAGTTTCCATTCCAAACTTGGCGTACAGTTCCTGAACGCAAACTAATGTAGTAGCGGATGTGGTGGGTTGACCCCAGTGAGCAGCCAGACGCCCACCCTACCCCTCATGCATTCTTCTTTCCTGTGGAATGGGAGAAGATAGAAGGAAGGTGGAAAGACTTGTGGCTTGACATCATGACAATTTAATAAGGAAAGCAAAAGCTGTGGACACAAGTGAAGCATAAAGAGAAAGTCATTCACTCCTTCCTATCAGCAGGCAGATGTCCAGCTATGTCCTGGAAGGCAGGGTCTTGGCATGTGTAAGGGTTGTCTTTGGGTTGCTGAAGTTTTTTCCTTGCTTCATCCAGACAGTGTTTCAAGGACTTCACAGTATCCTAGTATATATTCTAGTATAAGCATTGGTCATTTTCAGGACAGCACAAGTCCTATTGCTTTTTTCCTTAAATTAACTTTAGCAAAGGATGAAAGAGGCTGAAAATATTTTGAAGCAGTGAAATTATTCATATCTTAAATGACTGAAGAAATTACTTGAAGTGTATTTTTATATCAGAGTGGCGCATTGATAGTGGTGCATCAAGCTGCTGAAGTGCAGCTCAGCTCTTCTAGTAGAAAGTTTGTATTCAAATGGCTTTCAAAAGAATAACATTACAATTGCATTAAAATTTATGTCAAGCAGTATTTCATGTTAATATTGGCTGATTGGAGTTGCACTGTATAATGTAGTTCTTGATAGATAGGCATTAGTACTGACATGTAAAGGTGTCTTAAATAGCATAAAACAGCAGTCATCAAGATTCTTAACATCCAGTCTTCATTTCTGAAGCCAAATGTCTGTCATCTTAATTGGCTAGCAAAATACATCCAGCAGATAAACTAGGTTACTTTCTAAATTTTAATGAAGAAAAACAAATGTATCTTTAAGGACCCAATGAGAAGAAACGTGAATAGTCTTATTAAGTGCAAGATATTTCCTGTGTACAGAAATAAGGATCCTGACTTCATACAGAATTGAGATAACTACAAATTGTGTATTGAATCAGTCCAAATTACTGTTAAACATTTCTCACACAGGATGGTTTACAGACTAAGCTGTAGTTGACTGTTTGGTTAAGTGAAGCACAGCTGCTTTGATGCCCACACAGAAAACATTTTGTAACTTTTTGCCTACTGCTTAACTGTGGCTGTAATTGATTTGTATTAATTAAAACATTTTTCATTTGAAGTGTTTAATGTTGCATATTGTCATTAGTCTGAAATAAATTCAGATATTACAAGTGAACATTTTTTTTCTGGCCTCAGGTTTGTCTGTTACTCCACTGCTTAATTTTTTACTTTATTGCTTAAATATATTTGATTTCCCTATGTTATTTCAGAAATGAGCACAAAATAATGAAATCTGAGCTTCTAGGAAAATACGAAAGTGTTCTTTTCCAGGAGAAAACCAGCTAATTCACAAGTTGTGTTATGATCTTTCTTCTTGTTAACAAAATTCTAAGTTAAAATATTAAACGACAGAGTTAATGATCTCCCTCTTCATTTATTAAGATAGTTAAGATAGTCGTCAGTCATGTCAAGCCCTCATTCCAGTCTTGTCTCACTAATGTAGAACTTGCCTATCTGGGATGTCATAGCTGAGGAAGAACCTGAAGAATAGAAGATCACATGATGTGTAGTTGTACAAACTCTGTTGTGGTAAAAACTTTATAGTGGCTGTGTAAACACCCAATAGGATAAAAATATGGACAGCATATAGATACTACAGGTAAACGCCTCCTGTCCCTATAGTAACCTGACCAAAACTGGCTTCCTTCTAAAGAAGGCACATCCCTGGGTTGGGTAGTTTGGGGGAAAACTGGAGCAGCTGTTGGGAACGCAAGACCTTGCCTTATTTTGTTTCTAAACCATCATGGCTACATTAAACAATTGCATAAGGTGAGGTACTTTATCTACAATGGAGTGGCTAAGGAGGTTTTTTGGTTAAGTTTCTTCTGGTGTGCTACTTTAGCTGAAACTTAATATGTTGAGTCAAATGGCCTGCAAAACTCTATCCTGGAGCACTAAAACTTAAAGTAGTATAAATTGTACATGGGATCTTCCTGTACTATAGATCTACACAGACTGTAAGGACAGGGTGACTATTTTGTGTTTGTAGTGTTTCATAGCGGAAAACAAAAAGGCAGGTCAGCAGGTTGCTAGCTGTTGAACTGTTTTAAGACACATTGCAAACAGCTTGACTGTTTATTCTTACCTGATGAGTAGTAGTTTTAATGTAGAAGTGCCATGTGGGAAATGATGTGTTGGTTTCAATGAGTAACTGCTAGATCTCTTGACCCCTGAAATCTAATCTTATGATGGTAGCACTTATTTTGAGAACTGCCTGTCATCTTAATCATTTTGGTCTTAAAGGTCAAGCAATAGGCATCAGGCGGTCTGACTTTTTGAGATCTTGTTCAAGACAAATTAAAGCAAGGTGGCTACCCAAAACATAGCCAGTATTTCCACTAGTAAGAGCAAGGCTTCTTGCAACAAATCCCGGGAGCTGTGAATGTGTCTTGGGATTTTTGAATACAAGTTCAAAAGAATGGAGTCTAACTGAAAGGGTTTCTCCTGCTTCTTTGTTTTGGCTATTGCTGAACAGTGCTTGCACATTATCACGGCTTGCTTTTTTTTTTTTCTCCCCTGTTCTGTACCCCCCCCTGCAGATAAGTAGGCTAGGGGTGGGTGGGCAAGAAATTGGGATGAGACACGGCTGGGACAGCTAGTGACTCTGACCATTCCATACCATATGATGATGTGCTCAGCAATAAATGCTCAAGGAAAGGAGGAAGAAGGACATTCTTGGTTATGGTGTTGTCTTCAAAAGCAAGTTGTGTGTGCTGAGGCCCAGCTTTCTAGGAAGTGGCTGGACACCTGCCTGATGATGGGAAGTAATGAAGAAATACCTTTTTTTTTTTCTTTGCTTATGTGGAGTTTTTGCTTAACTTATTAAAACTGTTGTTATCTCAGTCTGTAAGTCTTCTCACCTTCCTTCTCTTTTTGCCCTGTCCAGCAGGAGAGGGGAGTGAGCAAACAGCTCTGTGGGTGTTTGGCTGGGGTCAACCCAACGCAGTCCTAAGCTAAAGATCAGAAGAAGGAGGCATAAATTTCTTTTCTAGGCTCCAGGAAAGTGTTCGTACAGTATATTAATATCAGAATGCAAACTGCTGGAGTTGCATGAGTGGTCTAGATGCGCATCTGTCATACAAAGTTGGAAAATAATTGCTCAAAATGTTTTCCAACTCTTCAGTGCGCCTTCTTGCTTTTGACGGTTAAGTATTACTTAACCGTCAAAACTTAACTCCTTAGAGCTCAGAACTAGATGGACTTTAAAGCAGTGCCTTTGATAGTGGTGGTGTACAGAGCTGGAATAAAACGATATAAATGTGTTTAATTTGAGACTCTGTAGTAACTTCAAGTCAAACATCCCAAGTGTCACAGTGGGAGTTCAGGCCAGCATACTTTAGGTCTGTCTCAACATGCCAACGCAGATGAGAAACAATGCTAATGTTCATAAATCAACCTGATTCTGTGAGAAAAATCATGGGCTGTGAATGGCAACTCGTGCTGTAGTTTAGTAATCAAGGGTATTCAGTTTTCTACCATTCTTAGTCATGGATATTTTCATCAGTTGGTTTTGTAAATCTCTGTATAATCATTCTGTAAGAGTTTGTATGCTACTGTTGTAAAGTCTGTGCTGTATGAGGTATTAAAGGATTTGTTGTGTTAATGTAAGCTTGTCCTGCATTTAATTTCAAGTTAAGTAGAGGTGCATGTCTTAGGAAGGTTCCTAACTGGAGAAAAAGGGGCAACTTCTACTGATTTCTCTTGATGCTTGCATCTGATACATAGCTGTAAGGATTATTCAAGATGTAAGCAAAATCTTGTTGTTAGTAGTAAGCCAACTTTCTAAAGTTAGTTTGGGTTTTTTTTGGGGAGATGGGGGAAGTTGGAGGTGGAGGCCAGTGGACACAACATATGACTTCCTACCTTAATCTGGCTAACTCTAATGTTATGTGACATCACTTAGAAGTAGAAAGCTGTAAATAAAATTGCTAACAATGGAGACTGTTAGAAGTAATAGACATCCTAGACAAAGAGCTGTGAGCCTTTATTCAGACTTATTTATTCCTGTTGTCAGTATAGAATTATGCCAAAGAAAATCTTCACAGCATATGGAATTTTGAAAACAACTAATTTATTTCCCCATTGCCCTTAGGTCCAAGATGGGCCTCTTGGAACACCGGTGTTTTTATTTGCATCAGATGTGCTGGAATACATCGAAATCTTGGGGTCCATATATCAAGGGTCAAGTCTGTCAACTTGGACCAATGGACACCAGAGCAAATACAGGTAAAATATCTTAAAACATTTTCAATTTGGAGGGAATGCCAGGAGTCCTTTTGAAAGGATTTGAGTTTATCATGATGCCCCAACTTAAACGTTTTACAATCAGAGTAGTTCTTAATGTGTTATATTTCTACTGTAATGAGTTTAAGTTCTGAAAACTCACTTCAGAAATCGGTTTAGCTATCTTATCTTTATATTGTAGATGTATTGTACCTTGCCATGGGGACTCTGAAAACTGCTTCTTTCTTGTATCTGTAGAAAACATGTTGTAAGCCTTTCCCTTTTCCATAGGTGACAGTAAGGTAGCGTTCATGCATCTGATTCTTGATTACATTCTTTTAGTGTACCAAGTACTGGCTTTTCCAGGTATGCTCCAGTCTGAAGCCTCTTTCTGCTACCAGATAAATTTTCTTACTCCTATTCCTCCTGGTCTGAAGAGCCATCCTGAGAGATTAAAGTTTATCTTTCACTGGATGGGTTAGTTTATACTGTAAACAGCATCTATGTTGTTAGCTTTTGTCCAGCAAGTCTTGGCAGGCAGCCGTCCTGTCATGTGGGAGCATCTCCCAAGACATAGGGCAGCAGAGCGGTCTCCAAGTTTAAAACTTGCAGTGTCATTTAAGCACACCAATAGCATTCTGACTGTTTCAGGATTTAAAGTATTGATGGACATGAACTAACTGTTTTCTACTACTTTCCTTTAGTGCATGCAGGAAATGGGAAATACTAAAGCAAGACTACTCTATGAAGCTAATCTACCAGAGAACTTCCGCAGACCTCAAACAGATCAGTATCCTTTTTGTTTTAGCTTTCACATTGAAATGACTTTTAATGCAACTTAGATGCTTTGACTGTTTCAAGGAACTGGTACATTTGGCAGCTCACCTTATTTATTTCATTGATATTGTTGTATAAGAAATGACGGTGGAAGTTGGGAATGGTTCAGAAAAGGTTTAAATTACTTCAGTTATAGCAAATCTACTTTGTAATGAGATTTGGCAAGACCCATTTATTTTTGCTTTCAGAACAGGTGACTTCATAAATTCCCTGTATGTAGGAGTTTAGAGTGATACTAGAGAGCTTTTGAATATTCTGTCTTTATCTTGAATAACTGCCAGCTAAAGTTAGAAGCATTTGAACAGGAAATAATGAGCTGAATGGTGAAGTAAAATAAGCCACTGAATCTTACTCAAGTGAAGTATGGATTTTTTCCTCTAGATTAACTGTTCTGTAATGTTTTGGAGTTGAAGCGTATACATTCTATGAAGTGGGTGAGCAAAGACGACTAGCATGGGAATATCTAAATAAACCAAACCTTCCTGACGGCCACCACTTGTGTTGGTGTGTGGTTATCACCATGTACCTGGAAGGAGAGGGTTGGAAGAAGAATTGTCTACTGCCAATAAATAGCTTTCCTCAAAAACTACCTTTTTGAATGTACTGAATCATTAGGATAATGTTTAACGGCATTAATTTACATTTGTATTAGCTCCTGATTTAGTGAAGTTACTCCACAGGTAGGATTTGCTTCACCTGATCTTACTGGAACTCTTTAATTGTAATGAGATCCTAAACACCTACTGTTAAGTGAGCTGAATCTTTCCCCAGCTCTCTTAGCCTGATGATGATACAGGCTATGGAGGCTGACAAACGGACTTAACCGTAACTGGATCTGAATTTTCCTTTTCTATATCCAAAAGTGATTTTGGTTCTTCTGTTTATTAGATACTATGCTCAATATGCTATGCGCAGAAGATTATTTTTTTTAAGGGTTAGACTCCATTATAAAATGCACTTGAGAAAAACAGATATGTTTTTTCATATTGCAGTAGCTTTTAAATTAAACATACATATGCATAAGAACAAAGTAACTGGAACCAGATAGCACTGTAATATTCCAGCTGTAATATTCCAGAACTTTTTCAGCCATAAGACTGAAATACTTTGACTAAAACTTATTCAAAAGTGGATCTTGAAGATGTATATTTTGTTCTTACTGCAGCTAACTTGAATTCACTGGTGCTGTTGCAGGAGAAGCAATAATGCTGTACTCTAAGCTTTTCTTGTCAGATCAGAACAAAAGTCTCATTTTTAGACTTTCAAAATAATTCCTTTGTTGACAATGTATACCTTGAAATAATTATATAGCTTTTTGAACAGTTGTCAGTTTCTAAGTAGTGGACTTGGTCAGTTGAATATATTCCATTGCATATGTTTTCTTTATTAAAAATACAGTGCCAGGAGAGAGGATGCCAACATTTTTTGTTTCATTTCTCAATTTCCCCATAACTTTGGCAGCTACTTACCTGCTTGACATTCATGACAAGCTGTTGTGTTATGGGCTTTTTTGCCTTTCCTCTTTGCCCTTTGTATCACTACAAAATCAGCATTGTGTCTCATCAATATTTTGGTTATGAATATTCTCAATATTCTTTTGGATGAACTCTGAAACCTCTTTGCATGTAATGATCACTTGTGTATATGTTCTTCTACATAGCGCTTAACTTCCTGTAGCACTGTAATATACTTATTTCTGGGTTTTGGATAGTAGAATGGAGACACAGGAGAAACGTGTATGTGGGATCTGCCCAAAATCTCTTGCTAAAGATCCCCCATCACTTCTGCTTCTTAATCACAAGACTGACCTTTCTGGGCATTTTTGGTTTTTTTATTCTTCCCTTGTACTTCACAGGGATGCTGTGGTGTAGAAGCTAACTTTGAGGATCATCTTGATGGTTTTTTGTATGGCAGCTTTAGCTTCCTGTTTGAAAGTGGTTTTTTCCAAGACTACAGTGAATCATTTTTTTGTCTCTTCATTTTACTTCTTAAAAAGTTTTGGCATGTCTTGGGGTTGTTTTAAATTCTGTTGTTAACAACAACATGGTAGGTTATTGATCTAAAGAAACTTACGTGGTCAAAAAATTCATGCATATTGAAATGGGGTAACTTGAATACAGTGGATATTTTTCAAAATGCACAACTTAATACCCCAGTGTAATAGCATCCTGAAAAACTAAACCCTATGAAATTTAAATATTTATGGTTCTGTGTTAATAATTTTCAAATTAAAACTTTCTAATTGTCTGAAATATCAAGTGTGCATTCTGGGAAACTGCTAAAAATAGGGAAATATTTATGCAAAAGAACTAAAATATCTAACACCAAAATCCGAGCAACCAAAGCTTAGAACACTTGACAAAATAAATGTGCCATCTGAAAATGTTAATTGTGGCAAATAACTAAGACTTTTTATTTGAAGAAAGGATAGGTTGTTCTAAGGTATTTCATAACAGTCAAGTTTTGAATGATTTTTGTTTACGTCTAAATTAGTTATAATTTAATACAGTTATCCAGTTACAGCCCAAAAGCATGGGAAAAAATTAAGTTCACTTTCTCTGTCTCCTCCCCCAACTTAGATTATATAGCGCAGTAATTTGTACTGCAAGTTGAAAATAAACTTTCTGAGGGAATCCTGTCTAGTCTTTGCTAAATTTCAGAAGTTGTGGGAGTTGTATATTATACAAGTTCCATTCATCTGTAATTTGATAATATACATTGATTTTTTTGGCAAAATGACAGTCTTTTGGTATGTGTGAAGAATAATGCGATATTAGTATTGAGATAGTTGCATGTTCAAAGTGCTCAAGATGTCCTTGAGAATGTAGATACATTTGGAAAGAGGTAGAAAAGAATGTTTTGGTTTTTGCAACTTCTACAAAGCAGTGTCTTCAAGTGACACTTGCATACAATTTGAAACTAATTGTGATTGTTGATGATATAATTTGATGCACAGAATGCAGGAACTGAGTGCTCTGAGTTCAGTGTTAATCTTAAGAGACAGTACGTGGAGCTAAGGTATCTTTCCATTGATTGAGGAAAAATTGCTACGGAAGTTTAAGATGCAATGAATCAGACCTTCCACAGTTGCAACTTCAGTTTCTGAATGGATAATCACGTTGCCAAACAAATTAGTTAAAATTTATTCTACAGGTACCAGAGAATCAGCTTTACTAAAGTTAAAAGTATTCACACTGCTTTGGAAGAACTGCTTTATGAAGCTGAGAGAATAATTGAGGAAAACCAACTAGTTGTTCTTTTTGTGTTTGAGCTAGTGAGTTGTCAGTTCTGGTCTTCTACATCAGTATGCTTGCTGCTATTTCCACCTTTGCTTCAATATCTTTTTATCACTAGTGTTTTAGTTTTCTTTCCCTTCCACAGAGATGTTTGTTAGAATAGGAGGCTCTCATGGAGTACTTAATGTTCTCAGAGAACTGTTTATGATCAGCTTTTGATGGATGATATAATTTGTGCAAATCAGAGAACAGGTACATACATTTCACCTTTTATCTGAAGAGAAAGTGTTTTTTCCCCAAGTTATGATGGATAACTATACTTTAATTATTTACCATATATGAATACCTTTGTTTAAGTATTTGCAGTACTGCAGCCTTGTATCTTATAAATACCAAGTGAAAATATCCTAACTGGAACACTGAGTTACTTCTAGTATATTTTTCTCATATTGTTTCATTAAGAGATTAAACTGCTTAATTCTCTGTAGTAAAAATAAGCTCTTTTTGGATACTGCAGTAGCAATTTTTCTGTGTAGAGCAGTTTGGTTGTTTTAAAATGACAAAATGAGATGGAGCAAGAATCTGGTGCAGTTCTTTAATTTGAATAACCCGTCAGCTTTTTAGATTAATGTTGCTATTTATCTGAATGTGTGTTTTCCTTAAACTAGCTACTTCCAGAGCTGTGGAATTTTTCATCAGGGATAAGTACGAAAAGAAGAAGTATTATGATAAAAATGCAGTTAATGCCTTCAATGTAAGTAAACAGCTTCACCAAGAATTCTGTCACTTTTCTTTTTTGAAAGCTACATAAGAGAAATGTAGAAAACATTACATATGTTAAAATGTCTTTTACAGTCAAAACCTTTTTGATACAGAACTAAATGCTTTCTTTTGTATCTCTTGAAAGCTATTGCTAGGTTCTGTAAGTTCAACATACATTGTCTATTACATACATAACAAGAAAGCATTATGATCCAAAAAATAGCTTGCTTCCGACTCTATATTGTGTTTTTCTGTTTCAGTGATGGGTAGTTCTTCAACAGTATGCTTTGAGTCCTTTCTGAGTATATTTTTCTGTGTTACAGGGGTAAGATAGTTACTGTTTCTGGTGACTTTGGCTTCCTTCATTCTCTGCAATACCTTGATGAGAAGTCCTAGGGTGCATTGGGCCCCTCTTTCTGAGGGTCTAATTGCTCTGCTGAATTCCAGACTGTTGCTTGCAGTGAGGCGCACTGTAGTAGCGAACACAGGCAGTATGGCAAACCAGCTGTTTAATCATGTAGCTGTGTGTTCACTACCTAAGTTGGTGAGTGCTTTTCTGGCAAAGCAGGTTTGAGAATGTCAGCCTTTACTGACGTTCACAGCCTTGTTCGTTTTTTGGGGTATGGCAATTTCTGGGGCATACAATCTAGTTTATATATTTTTATTTATATAGGTGCACTTATGCTTAAACACACATTCCTCCATACCTACATTATTTAAGTATGGCCTGACGTAACTTACTACTCCATCTTACTAGGCAGTGAACTTTGACAGGGAAACGAGTGCAAGGGTGGGCGTAAAGAGTAAGAGTTTATGCTGTCTTTCTCATCTGAGAAAATGGATCTTTGAACAATAGTTTCATTTTAGAAGGGAAAAAAAAAAACCAAACCTGGAAACTAGAGAAGTGTTGCATTCATTAAGCATTGTTGAAGTAGGGGGAAAATTGCTTCACTTAAGAGGTAAAATACAATTGTGATTTGAATTACACTGTCAGTTACCCTTCTTTTATTCCAAAGTAGAAAATAGGAAGAATTGTTTAAAATTATACTTCTTTTAAAAGTTTAAAATATTCCCAAGATCTTTGTAAACAGAGAGCCTAGGTGTCTAATATAGTAGTCCACTGCTGCCTTAATATGTTTGAAGGAGTAATCAGATTTTGCTTTATTGTATTTCAGACTAATACGAATTGCTTACCTGTCATAGCAGCAAGGATAGAATCCAGACAAGCTGAAGAGATGCTTGTTACCGCTCAGGAGAGGGAACACCATTTTATTTCTTCCTACTTGGGGTTTTCTTTCATTGACTAATGTAAATGGCATAATCTCCCTAAGATAGGAACAAAACGCGATCGTGAAATATTTTAGTGATAGTAACTCATGCACACTCACATTCACCTGCATTTCTTCAAGGCCACCAAAGATCAGGTTTGAGGTAGGCAATCTGAACTCACAGTTACGGCAAAATCCTAAAAGTCCCAGTCTGCCGCTTGAACTGGGTTACCCTCCTTGGCTCTGGCACCAGCCCAGCTCACATCCACGTGTAGTGCCATGACTGGTGCTCAGCGATCATCTTTCGAGTGGGCCCCGAGACTGACAGGGAGGAGGAAGAAAAGGGGAAACGGAGCCTCCATTCTACATGTCTGGTACACTGCTTTTCTGCTCCTGGCTACTGTTGGCAGGGAAGAGGGGATGTTACCCTACACGTCAAGCACATGGAGGTCTGTGGGGAGTTTGGGAAGATCGGGGTGAGGAAGGGAATTCTGTGGAGGTATGCATTTCTGTGCCTGTGCAGGGGGTGGTGACGGTTTCTAAAGCTTTCCTTTTGCAGTCCTGATGGCATTTGAGACACCTTCCCTCTTCCCACCCTGCCAGGAGGTGGCTAAGATTCCCGGGGAACTGAGGGGCGGCTGTGGACTTTTAGCCCTCTGCCAAGTGTTTTGGTAGCATCAGAGCACTTGCTAGCACGATACCCCCATGAGTAATGGTCTTGTGAACTGTTCAGGTGGGGTGTCTGTGCTATGTCACGGCAAGCTCTTTTCTTCTGGAAAATTTCTTTACCGCGCTTACTTTTGCAGAGAGCACCGTGTCCTATTTTTAATCGAAATCAGCATTGTTGGGGTGACCTGTGAGCTTTTTAGCACACTTATATTTTGTTATCACCTTTGAAATAGCAATGCCTTCTGCTTGGGTTAGGACCAGTTTAACTTGGAGATGCGTATGTATGTTGTCATTTGGTAAAATGAATCCCTTCTGGGTATCAGCAGGTAATACAGAAGTGCAGAAGCAGTCTTGCTATGCCCTAAGGGTTGCTTTCCTTAACCAGGTAATTTCACTGAGGTGGCATTTAAAAATTTAAGGGTCTTTCCCAGATTTTGTCCCCTGTTACATGTTGCTTGTGGTAAAAGCTTCCTGTATCATAAAACTTGTTTTCAATAGATTCTCTTAAAACATGCAGTACAATATTTCTCTTAGCTTAATTTTGGCACGATCATAAGCTTTTCAAGTTTGTCTAACAGTACAACATCTGTGTTAATGTTTTCTGTCTGTTGGAGCCCAAGAGTATATGTCAAGGTTCAGTTCTTGATTCTGTGATGCTTAGGATTCATGTATCTTTTCCTTTGTTACAAATTTTTTATTTATAATTGTTAATTCTATGAGATATTTTGTGTTCTGACAAGACTGTTGTATTACTAAATTTGGCTTTTAGAGATACACACTATAATAACAAAATTGGCTAGTGCAGAGACCAGTACTGCCATCAAACATGCAGACTAAAAATAGGCAAATATGAAAAATTATTTTTTTCATGGTTCACTGAAAAGCAATGCAGGATAAAGTTATGGGCAAAAAAAGCATTTGTGGTTTTAATGGCTAGTTACATTTTAAATAGAACAATGCATTTAAGTGGAAATCAGATATACATTAGAAAAATCTAATGCTGACTGAAAGCAGCCTGACTTTAAAAAATATTTAAAATCTATTAAAATGCATAGATCTCAGAGCTTTCTGATCCATCATTATTGGGAAAATGTGAAATGCTGGTTCCGTATCACTGCTCAGGACTAAATGAGTGGTACAATTTATTCAGCTATTCTAAGTGGGTTATCAGTAAATAGTTACTCTTGTTTTCTTGCTCAGACTCAGTGCAGGCTTGTGACTTCTTTTATAGAAAGACCTGAGAGGCTGACACCCTTGAACAGTGGTATATTTGTTTTTTTGTTTTGAGTTGTTTTTTGGCTTTTTCTTTGTTTGTTTTTTTTTGTGGTTTTGTTTTGTTTGGTACTGGGAAACACTCTGGTATCAGTTAGGCCTAATTCTTTACCATAATCTTGGGCTTTAGCCTTGAGAAAAATCTTCTGAATGTAGCAGGAATGGTAGCCCCAGGTAGGCAAACTACTGTGCTCTGGGTCAAGGTAGATGTAGGTAGGGAATTTATCAGTGATCACACTATGCTTGTCCCTTCTTTTCACAGATGTACTTCACATGTACTTTAGGTTAAACAAAAAGCAGGAGCTCCAATTTAGAATAAACAACATAGCTGGGGGGGGGAAGCCTGGGAAAAAATATCAATGGAAATTATGTATTCCTTGTTTTTTACCAACACTGATAATACAGTTAAAATCAATCTGATATTTTAAGGAATATGTTAATGTGGATGAGTTTTATGGGTGCCTTTCAGGTTTTTTGGAATATTTATACTTTTTTAGATCTTAATTCGAACAGAAACCTTTTTGTAATCATTAGAAAAATTTTTAACAGTTATGTATGCGTTTGCTGCTTCATTTCTTGTAAGACAAGAAGAAAAAGTTTTAGGAAAATGTCTAACAATGCATTTGTAGAAATACTTTCTTTCCAGAGTACTGGAATATTGCCATTTAAAAAAAAATTTTTCCATTTAGCTGCTGTTAAAGTACCAGTATTTACTTCTAATTTTTATCCTGATCAATGTAAAGAAGAGAATTTTGAATAAACTAGCCTACGTAGGGAGGCAAACTGGTTTTTTTTTTGGTTTTTTTTTTTTTTGGTACTCCATGGAAATACCTTTAGATGCATGTCAGCTCTTTGAAAAACTCTTATAGTTGAAATGATCTGTAAATGCTTAGATACAGTTGTAGGGTTTTCATGACTGAAACTGTGAAGACAACTGTATGGTATTTATGATATTTAGGAAAATGTATCCTTATTATCAAAGTATACTCCATTTAAGCAGTGTAGCTGATGACAGAGTTAGAAGTAGTATTTCTCAAGCCACTGCCTGCCATAATTCTTTCCCAACATTAACAAGAGTCACACCGGTATTAAAGATAACACTTCCTTTCTCAGAAAGTAGTTCATAGTCCTACTGTGGTGAGACCTTGGTTTGCCGAGACTTCTAAAGACCGACTGCTTGAGAAACCCAAGTCTCTTGATCTGGCCAGCTGCCTTCCTGTTTTCCTTTGGTATGAAGTAATTTTGAAACATTCAGGACTTCATGGTTTTTTATGCTTTTTATGTATGCTTAAATTTAAAAAGAGGAATAGTACAAATGAAAACACTTGAAGCTGACAGGATGTTACTTGGAAAAAAAATATATTTGCTCTGTGACTAACATGTGATTTGGTACTGTTAACAGCAGGAACTTTTTATGCTCTTTGAGTAATCAACTTAGGAGCAGCAGTAGCTGTTAGTAAAATCAACTTGTTTTAAATATCCTCAGCATAATACTATCCTAGAATTAATTTTCTGCCAAACTCTCTTCTCGATTTTTAGGCATACATAAGCTGTGAATGATGCAAAGTATAGCATAGAGTCTAATAAAACAAATTTCACATAGTAGTGAAACGTTTAGGGCATCTCTATAAATGTGATGCATCTAAGATACGGTAGCATGAGCAATTTGCTGTGCAGTATGCTATGCTGTTTGACTTGATTTATCCCTGAAAGCTTGTACGACGCAACTGAGAGCTTGCATCCCATCTGTAGTTAACTACAGACAGTTACTATAGGTCAAATG